GTCATGATGTATCAATGTAATATGCCAGAATGTCATGATGTATCTGTAATATGCCAGAATGTCATGATGCATCTGTAATATACCAGAATGTCATGATGTATCTGTAATATACCACAATGTCATGATGTATCTGTAATATACCACAAATGTCATGATGTATCTGTAATATACCACAATGTCATGATGTATCTGTAATATACCACAATGTCATGATGTATCTGTAATATGCCAGAATGTCATGATGTATGTGTAATTATACAGTTTGCTGGAGATCAAAAACGTCTCTCAAAAAACACCTTGACATCAGTTTTTTTATTATTCTTTCAGCTCTTTCAGAACTACATGACAGGGCTGTGGGACCATAATTTAAGGCAATTTAATGCACTACTGTCAGCCAGGACTGGTCAAACACAAGCACCTGCAGACATTAACCAAGGTTCCATTCATGTAAATACATACCCAGTATATCAGGGATTTTTTTAAACAAGGGAACATGGCCATGCACCCCCTTACCCTGGGGATGGGATCTTCTGGCAACCATAAAATTCTGATTGACCAGGGATCACATGTGCCCACAGTCTTCAACTGTGACCTGTCTGATAGTAATTTTGGCCTAAGGAAGACATATATGTAGAATGCTCTATTTTAACTTAGAATTATCAAAAATTACACGTACCCTGGTAGGGAGAATCCTATCTCCCCCACTGGGTGGCGCCGCTGAATTGCAGTGCTCTTTCTTGCAGTTTTTTTTCTCGAAAAACCTCTGTATATATATTAGATGATAATTCTAACCCAACTGAACAAATTAATTAATGTGCACAAGATTGTTTAAAACATTACGTCACTGCTTCTGCACAAGCTGAAAAGCATATTTGTGTATATATATACAGCTCCATGAACTCTCAATTTAGGCTTTGGACAGTGTACTCAAATTTCCCCCATTTCCTCATAGTCACATGCACGTAACACAATAAGACCCAGTCTATACCCCTTTGTTGTGAAGTACCTACAGACATAATGGAAGAAAGACACTTAACAATGTTAAGCCAGCCATTGTGCTGATGTTTTCAATTTTCTACCTGCCTGTTGATCAATTCAAGACTTCCATATAAAAGAACAGCAGTATATCACGAAAACTTTATGACTCACTTTTATACATCCCGTAAAATAACACAACAAAATATTTTAGTTTTATCACCCTACCAATTTGAAAGTACTACAATCTTTGCTTTTGAAAAGCTAGTGTACAATTATCATACAGGAAATCTCCTACATAAATGTGAAAAACCTCTTCAAACCTTTGAATTCCAAGCAACTTTTGTGGCAGTCACAAAATAAACAGCATAATATTTTTTTTTTTTCATAATTTTGATATGAAACTAGGATGGTATGTGATCGGAATTCTATTTGTATGATGTCATAAGATCTGAGGCCAAGGGAAATTTATGTTAATTTGGTCAAAAAAAATGAAGAAATTATAGAAAAAATTCATACAAAAAATTCATATGCATCAACATCTTGGCTAGTGTTTATCCTTTTCACCACCAGTTCCCACTGTTCATCAAAAATACCTGTTTATAGTCTGCACTTTCCTTTAGAAGATTGGGACAAAAATAGCCAAATATTTTGAGCAAAAATCGAAAATTGACTCAAATTTTTCTGTTGGCTCCAAAATTAGGGTTCATTTTCAGAAATATTGTAGAATGTAAGAAAAAAGTATAGAAATTTGTGGGTGAGAAAGTCTGGTGACGAAAAGGTCGCAATTTAAACACATCTTGGCTCACTAGGATGTTTAATTGATTCATCGGTTGTCTCAAAATCAGAATTTTTTTTTCAAAAATGGCAACTAGTGTCAAGGAACAGTGTAAAACAGTAAATTTAACAGAAAACAATAAGTCCTTTTGTCTTAAATTATCTTACAAAATTGGCATGTTTAAAAAAAAAATACCAGCAAAATGCTGATGTTCAGTAAGTATGTGAATCGCAGGTGTTTTATGTGAAGACCTACATTTTGTACCAACTGATAAACACTTTGTAGCTACAATGGAATCTGACAATAGTGTTTGCGTATCTGATTCTGTGATTCACATTGTAGATGTCTAGACGAATCACACCCTGCATGTGGTATTGTCTGTATGTCATGACATCATGGCTTTTTTATCATATTACTATCATGATGTACTACTATCATTTTGTGACAACAATGTTACCACCATCACATTTCTTTACCACCAATATAAATTAATTGGACCATCCTTTGAAAAACATTTGTTTTAATTTATTTTAAATTAATTTGATTTTTTAATATATTTAATTAATAAATTAATTTGAAACTTATTCTGTGATATAACATTACCTGCCTACATTGTTTTTTTTTCATTTATTTTGGATTATTTCAGCGGATGATCTGTAAATTATTACCGGTACCCCTAAAGTTCAAATATAGGCAAATGAACTGAAAATTATTTCTTTGCAAAATAGCTATGGTAATTCCACCAATGTTGTATTTTTTCATTTCATGTACTTCCTTCAATGTAGTGAAAAACTAGCACTTAGATGAAATACGGAAATATATTTTGAAAACTAGCTTACCGATAGATATCATTTTTCAAATCTGTAGTTCAACCATTATTACTATATGTTTTCTCAAAACCGAAGAGTACAACTCAGTGGGGGGGGGGGGATCTCCATTCTGTGTTTAGAAATATTTGTTCATTTAGCCATATTTTCTGTTACTTTAATATACAAGTGTTCCTATTGCTTAGACATAAGTACAATGTGCAGGGTATTTTGTGGTTATTAGACCTCCAGTGTCATCTTTTGATTTGATGGATAAGCTTTTCTCACAGGTTAAAAATGCTTTATTGGAGTTTTAAGCAGTTCACTGAATCAAACAGTAGGGATCTTTACAATCACTGATGCACAAGAAATGCAACTTATTTGTAAACGGTACTGATGTATTAAACCCCTTTATGCAAAATTTCTAAAAATTCTAACCAGTTATTACCTAATCAGCAAAATCAAATCATATTTATAATTTATGATTTATTAATATGTACTGTACAGGTGTAAAATGGTGAGGTCACAAAGAAGCTGATAATTCATGACACCACTAGACAGGAACTGATGTGTTTACGCACACTGTCACATTCATTGATATTTTTCTGACATAGTTCACATTCCCACTCATCTATTATTAACCCTTTAAAGGGGAACCGATACTATAAATAGGGGCAAGATGGCCACCGCAATTAGTATGCTAATCCGAACCAAGCCGCTCACATCGTGACAGGAGCTCCGTGAAATGTGCCATTTACCATGTTTAGAGATCAAGCTGTGATCCAAATACATTTCTACGGGGGCATGAATATGTATGCTAGAGATTACACTTGTCTGGTTGGGCTTTTGATGTATACAAGATGTTGTTTTTGATCGAAACGTGCCGCGACAAGTGAAAATCCTGAGTTTAAAATGGCGACTAATATATGCAAAATGCTTGTCAATCACAGTTTGAGTAAGCGAGCATGATAAGCATTCATTTACTTAGTGGATAGAGGCGGAGTTAATTACCCATGAGCACGTGTACGATCCATGGGATTGAGCGGTTCCCCTTTAAGTGCCATTGTCAACTTTTGCTTCCATTCACAAAATATTCTGGTATAGTCTGACTTGAAATCTTGATAAAAATTGACAAACCATTCTATCAAAAACTAAAAGCAAATGTCAGATACTGTTTGTACATGTATGGTTCAAAATTATGTTGAAATTTTATGAAAACTTTGTAAATTGTGTAAAAATTTAAGCTGATTTTTTTGGCGGAAAAAATATCTAGCGGTCAAAGGGTCAATAATTTTCATGACATCATACAAATAGAATTCCTATCACATACCATCCTAGTTTCACTATCTTTATATTCTTCCTTAATAAACCAAACCTAATACTGAACCACACTATACAAAAAAAACATTTTCCAATGTATTTTCTAAAATTAATGTGGTAAACTTTTTAATAAATAAGATGGCAGTTTTTATTTACTGATTTTAAAAGAAGATTGTGATTTTAAAATCAGTGACCTATTTAAGCCAGAAAATGTTACTTTGATTGAACTAAATGCAAATAAAAGGGTTGGTGGGATACCATTTGTCGATGCGTGATGACAGTTTTATTACTTGGGGGAGCCAGAAAATCCACAATTGATTGAACTTTAGGGGTACCAGTAATAATTTACAGATCATCCGCTGAAATAATCCAAAATAAATGAAAAAAAACAATGTCAGCAGGTAATGTTATATCACAGAATAAGTTTCAAATGAATTTATTAATTAATTATATTAAAATCAAATTAATTTAAAATAAATTAAAACAAATGTGTTTCGAAGGATGGTCCAATTAATTTATATTGGCGATAAAGAAAGCCTACTTTAATTGAAAAATGAATATAATAATTAATTATTCAATCAATTATAACTCAGTCAGACAATGAATCAGTCACTGATTGGCATATTTATTTTTATTTTAAGTACTAAAAAAAATCAATCACTTGATACGTAAATAACCAGACATGCAAATTAGCCTACTAGCCTAGCCAAGCTTGGAATAGGAAAGATAAATTACCAGTGATAATAATGTAGCTAACTGCTAACCTTTTGTCAATCACCAATGACAAATTACTTTTACTATTCCAATACACGTGTTATTCTGAGAAAATGGTCAAAATTTTAAATAGCAAAGATGAATTAAACGCATAATTTGACTTAAAATCAAAGGAAGGAATTTTATTAAAAGAATTACAGTTTTACCTTTGAACAATACATTTTATTGAACTGAGACAAAGCTCAAAATAAAAGCTGTTAATGGAGAGTTTTGACCACCTACATACTAATATATTCATTCATAAATACAAAGAAAACAATTTTATGTTCAGACAAATATTTAACACAATATAACACTAAATACGAGAGTAAGCTGGCACACCTCATACACATACTATCGCCTAGACTGGCGCAGGCGGAGCAATTAATTTGTTTTTGTAGTTTAAATAAAATTAAAAAAAATCGCGAAATGGAGGTGTTAGCGCGAAATCACCCCCATTTACGGAGGATTTTGCGCTAACACCCACATTTCGCAAAATTTGTTATTTTATTTAAACTACAAAAACAAATTAATCGCCTCGACTGCGCCAGTCTAACTATCGCCAAGTTTTTCACTTTCAATTTCAAAATTTATAACAATGGAAAATAGAATAGTGATTGTTATGCTAATTAGATGACAAACCCAAAGAGCACTACATTGTAGTAGATGTGAAATCTACTTCTAGTTTAAAGTAGTTTGAAAACATTAAGAATTTTCTTATTCTTACTACACTGGGAGATTAGCCTATTTTGAGGAAAAATACAACAAATTTGTTTCTGAAAAAATGTTATATTACACAGTTATTATACAGACTGTTAAACAGACTGGCTTTCAAATAAAAAAAATGAGGGGGGTTTGTAGAAAGATTTATAACACGTTCTACAAATAAAAATAATAAGTAACTAATCTTTTTTAAATAGTTTTTATATTGTAACACACTAGTACTTGGTTTATGTGACAGAACATTTTCTCATGTGAAGTGATTCCGCACCAACAAAGAGTTTGTGAGGTAGAAAAATAATCATACTCAAGTACATGTATATTTTAAGTATAGGTTAAATCATAGACATAGTATAGTATATATACTATACTATGTCTATGATTAAATACCATTGAGGTTTTATAATGTTTTGGATTGAGAATCATGGAGCTATACGTGAAGAAAAAATAAATCTCAACAAATAAAACATTTGAAGAGTACTTTATAACATGTGCATGTGTTTCTGGTACATGTATATGAACACTGGTATTCAAGGAGCATTTGTGGGTGATCTGATAGAAACACTATACAGCTGTATTAATCCTATAGGGATGAACACTAATCCTATAGTGATATACAATTGATCCACAGCTCAATACCAAGACTTTCAATAATAATACCCATCAGCAAAATGATTTCAATCTCAGTTTCCACAAATACACTGACATTAAATCATGCAATCACATTATAAAAAGGAGTGAATATACGTGTACAATTTAAAAACATCTCAAATGACTGCAGTCATCACTTATGTAGGGTCTTAAACAAAACATTGTGTTTGGGCTTAGAAATACATAATTTAGTTTAATATATTTGCTGCATTTACAGTGATAATTCAAGTTTTGGTTGTATTAGTTTTTTCCATGTACTGGGTGTCACTCATATACAACACACAGTCCAAGTGTAACTTTTAGCTAGCTTAAATGCTTTCAAAACTACGGTATCTAAATACATATAGTGCATAAGAAATCTACATAAATGTCTCATATTTACACTTGAGTGAATACTACAGAAAATAAGTTGAACTTATTGATATTTTAGGATTCTTACTTTAAAAAAAAAAGTTTTTAAAAAAAGGTGAAGTCAGCTGAGGTGTTCAGTTAAGCTGGAACTGCAATGTACATGGATTGATATGTATATGTACAAAGCTTACAGTATACCACTCAATATTTGAGTGCGCTTATGACAACTAAATTAAACAAAGAAAGTCAATGAGACTACCTGCTGCAAGAACCCATGCAACAAAATTTTACTAGTAAAGGCTTTGCCAAATTATAAAAATACATGTTATGAACATCACCAAATAAAGTATACCTCAGTCTTGCATAACCATAAATGTAACAAAATCATACTCTGTCCGTAATTTAAAGCACAGGAATTGGGTCCTAAGCTATGATAATGCACACTGAAAACAAAAACACTTGTGGGTAGACGCTTGTTTGACAGTCGTCTACTGCATTGGTAGATGACGACTCCCTCGCTTTGACGTTAATGGAATCTTCTGAAAGCTTGGATACAATTATTTTTTGTGACATTGTTTGCTCGACTCCAAAGGAATGAGTGTTATCCCATTGTGTATCCTTACATGGGATGTGTACTCTGGTTCACTGTTGACATTGTATTAGTGGTTTCCCACTAACTGGGAATATAATCTTTTGCACATCTTAGATTTATTTTTGCCTTTTATGACCTTAGTATATTATTAAAAGCCCAAATAGAAATGTATAATTTTTCTATATAAATAGAACTATCTTATCTCATCTCTTTAGGGATGATGTCAAAAGATCGATGTCGGATAAAAAACTTATTTGCTTTAGTTTGGGGGTGGGGGGTTTTGACCTCAAAAAGTTTCCATCCTACAAAAACAATTTTATTGTTTAATGAAGTCAAAACAACCTTGGAGTATTTGTAGTTAGTTTTTTTCTATCCAATCATAGACAAAAATAACAAAAAATGAAAAAAAACGCATCCAAGACGAGAAAATGGTTTGGTCCGAGTGTGAATATGTGCGTCAAATGAGGTCAATTTCTGGTCATGGAACTAGAGCATGCGCAAAACCCTGAAAAGTAGTTTGTGCATGCGTATATTCCGCTTCATTATTACAACCAACTGCTATGCCATACTACTGTCCAATTATCAATTTGTATTTAATGGTTAATGTAGTCTGACGCCATGACCAATATTTATCAATTAAATTTCAGTGGGGGGTGGGGGGTTTTGGGAAAAAACTAAAAGAATTAAGGTTTTTTTATCTGACATTGATCTTTTGACGTCGTCCCTTATACAAACTTTTGTTTAAATAACACTTTATCACAAGATGTAACAGAGTTGGACCATCCGATCAGTTTACACATGTAAAGTACACTGTAAATGCAGAATTTTATAGTAATTTTTCAAATCATAGAAGTTCTCTCATTTTCATATTGATTTTGTATTCATTGTTTAAATATTAACAAATTTATATGTTGATTATTAGAAAAAATAATATGCACAAAAAAGGACTCAAACATTATCCTGAAGAAAAAACAGACTAGCTCAATGTTATTAGTGAAGGAAAAAAATAATTTGCAGCAAAAAAAATTCTAGGACACTTATTCTCTTTGGTGATGTCTATCAGTGCAAAGCAATGGTTGATATGTGATGTGTATTGATCCAAGGTGGGTTGACTCAACCAACAGTGGTTCCTGGAAAGTACAAATGTTTTCAAGGTCCTGACAAAATTGAGTTTTGACGTTAAGGAGAGCTTAGATAAAGAAAAAAATTAAATAATATTTTAAATTTAAGTTTGAATACCATTACAAACATGCATGTAACAAGGTAAATAACAAAAGACTGTTGTTATGGTAACCATGCAGAGGCGTTGGTGGTCATTCTGTTTTGATAGGTAATGATTCTGACAACCATCTGCCAACCAACACTTGTATGTAGTCTTTTGTGACTAATACAATATAACTATTAATAAGTTAATAAATAAAAGCAGAAACATGACAAGCGATTGTTTGTTCAAGCATTTTTTTTTTTCAGTCTGTGAAAAAATGTGAGGCGATATACAGTGGCCACTGGATTTAAAAGCAATCGGAGCCTCAACCTAAATTAGATTTACAGCAAGTGTCAGAAGTATTGGTTTTGACTAAAGCAGATGACCTACAAGTTAAATGTTACCGATCATTTTTCCACCATAAAATGCTAGTAATATCTAAATAATTTTATGAGGTTATACAAGGCTGAAAAGTATGCAAAATTGTTTGCGAAGGTCAAATCTACTTTGTCAAAACCTTTAAGTTGTCAGTGAATTAGCGAGCAAGTGCTGTCCCAATACTTCTGTGACTTCCTGTAAACGGATTGACAAGCTACCCATTCACGATTACTCACCTGTTCAATGGACCGAGCTGCAAAACATGAAAGAGAGCCCAAAAGAATTTTTCCAGGCATGTGCTAGTTTTCTTGACGCTCCCGTCTTCCTGGTCATCGGTATTTCGATGATCGGACACATACCACCGAAGACTAAACAGTTGCATTATAATGGACGGGATAAAAACAAAGCTGAAAGTCAGTCCGCTCCACCAGTAGTGTCCGTCGGTCAGGTACTGTACTGACACCAACAGGTCAGTGCAAATATCGGCCAAAAAAGTCAACATCGAGCCCATCGTAAACATGAAATCAAAAATGCTGTATTTTTGTATTTTTATACCGCGATACGATTCCATCTTCACAGGTGAGTGAGATTTCTCCTCGCTTACATGCGAATCCATTGTGGCGCCTTCTGCGGACATTGCCACTGCGGTTAAATTCCAGAAAGCGGACAGTAGCAGTAGCAAGAAATTTATCGATCTTCATGAATAGTCCGGAAGTGCTATTTTTAGAGTGTGGGGAGAACCGGAAGTGAATATTTTGTACTACGCCATCTACGCATACTTTCAGGAAACGAACGGTTGCATTGTATGGTCGTTGGTGGAGCTGTTATTAGAACACGGGTATTATATTCTGGTTCCCTGTGCCAATTTCTAACATGCCTTGTTCGATGTGAAAAAATAAATAGCACTTGCCGACTTGAAACCTGGATTACAACAGTCATACCAACACGTATACATCAATGAACAACTTACAGAAAATTATGGAAATGAAGCAAACGTCAAGCGCAAAGTCGCTAAATCGAAGTTGATTTAGAAAAAAAAACACCTAAACAAATTAATAAGTTGCTATGTTATAGGTGGACTTAGATATAAGGCGTGGAGGTCAGTGGTTTCAATCCAAACAACTTAACATTTGGATTGAATGACCGAGCATGTAGTAAATATAAATTGGTCACAGCAACATGTGATTGATGTGGTGTTACAGGAAATAAGGAACCGAGCAATGTTGAAGTTATCGCAATAACAGAATAGCTACGCAAATATGCGTGTTCTGGACTACCCCCATTTGACTGTCCACGTCACTGTGAAGAACGCCAACCTTATAAAGAGAATACGGGTTTCACCAACAGAAGTTTTGAACTGGATTTTTTGTCAGAATGATATTGCTGTTCTTTTATGAATAACTGTTTAATGAAATTTCCCTGGATTATTTTCACAGCAAAATCTATCCGAGTAAAATTAATTAGTGAAAGTGTACCGAAAAATGCTTTTTTTTAAAGAAACTGGCTATTCAATTTTTTTTTCAAATTACTATATTACAGTAACCTATACAAATTACCATTGATATCTGAAAATGACCTGGTAAAATATAGTTTTACCTTATATAACCAAAGACAATAGAAATCTGTTTCTAATGTTTTTTGATATAACCAAATGATGCTCATTATGAATTATTAGTTTTATGCACATTAAGCATACAATTTCCTTGATGACTTTGCTGGAGATGCCATTAATCATTCCGACTATGTGCCAAATTCTCAGAGTGGTGACTAATTTGCATATAATTTACATACTCATTAGCATATGTCTGGTGGTAAAGAAAACAATAAGGACAGGCTTGCATGAATAAAATTGTGTATATTTTTTAACAAATTTATGTACAATATTAAATAAATCGGCCGCTATGTGCTTTGTATGTAATATTGATTCTCCGGACTTTCATGGAAGCCCAGTGGTCAGTGCAGTTTTCGATTTTCTTTGCTTACCACTTCTAATGACATGGCTTTCTTGTGCATCTCCGAGTGTGCGTGTTTATCGATAGCATATTTCGTAATATTTATACATGGCATAGAATTCCATACCAAACAACTATTTCTGGATGATTTCAAGTTGAATTTTCTACATATGTGACACAGCATTCCTAAAAGACAAGAAATAGGGGCGAATCGATATCGACCCATTATGGTCTTGATATATACAAGACCACACAGCGATAGAATCAACACCACAGCACAGTGATATATTGAAATCCTGCAACTTATTAGTACAGACAATGATGCAGCTGAAGAACATCACCTCTTCAGACAATTTGCTGAAATTGTGTGTGACCACCCAGACAGTAAGCATAACAGAAGATCTTTGGGTTCAACACCAGGACTGGATGTCGCCTTTTGTTTGCTGTCCAATTCCCCCAGAGATAGTTGTACTGATAATCTTGGTACTGTGGCAACTATTAAATCTTCTCCACATTCACATCTACCTTCTGTCAGCTGTGTACCCACATATCCACTGCCACATTAATAGATCAGAGAAAGGATTGGTAGATGTTCTCTCCCTATTGGTTGGGTTTACCTTGCTGATGATGAGTGTACTATCCTCGTGGAGCGGGCACATGGTGGCAAAGCATAAAGGGTACACACAGTTGGCTGAATATCAAATGAACACCAGTTCAAGTTTATTCAATTACTTATATAGGCTCTTAATTTATGCATACAATTCATTCAGGTGGGAATGCTATTCACATGTAAACTAGATCACTACATTTCCCTACACCTTAGAATACAACTTGTAAATCTGAAATATTCATGACATTTGATACTCTCTTAATGCGATACATTAACGTTATACACAAATTACATATATATTTTTTTATTTCATTTTATAATTGTTTTACTTATTTTAAATTTATAGATTTTTATATTCAAAACATACATTTAACTACAATTCCATGATACATAGTCATTTGAATTCAATAGTATAAATAATCAGGTTTAACATTGGTTTTCCCAATTCTCCCAGACCTTCTAAGTACAATTGGTTCTTCTTCAGTGTGTGTGTGTGTCTACTTGTGGTGTGGAATCGGTGTTTTGTTGCGTACTTAATGCGTGTGGTGATTGTGAAATGTCTTTCTGCGCAGGCGCAAGATTAGCTTTACAATCGGCCATTTCTCGCAGAATTCTTTCTATTTCAAGAACTTCATCAAACTCATTTATATTAATATTAATATTATCACAACCATGGTACGTTTTAAAATGCGATTTATCACGAGTTATATTTTTACCTTGTTTATTTGTCGCAGAAATCATGCTTCCTTTCACATTATCAATTTCAAATATTTCTTTCCTATAACGTGGTTCATATTTTGTTCGTCTTGTGTTTCTGACTAATACTCTCTCCTTTGAACTTTGTGAATTTAACTCTGCCGTGATTATCGTGGTAACGTTTGTTTTTTAGCATGCTTTTATTATGCATTCGTCTTTCCTCGTTTTCGATACTAAATTTATCAGAATCTCGCAGTTCGAAATCAGGTAATTTTACTTTGATTTTGCGACCAAACATTAATTCAGCCGGTGTTTTGCCAGTTGACGGGTGAGGGGTAGCACGATAATTCATCAACATTTTAAACATTTCAAATTTCCAATCTTTTCTCCCGATAAGAGAACATCGAATGACGTTGCCAAGACTTTTCATAAAATTCTCAGCCAAACCATTAGCTCTTGCAAACTCTGGGGTAATTTTCTGGTGTTTGAAACCAGAACGTCGAGCATATAGTTTAAACTCCCGGGAATTATACGGAGGTCC